AAAGTCCATGATCCTTTGTTTCGAGTTATAGGATGGGCTGGCAACCCATCTACGTGAAATGATACCAAGATCAGAGATCTTAGATCTGGAACGGATAAATAAAAGCCAGAACGTGTGGTGAGTGAATATTAGTCTTCTTATATGTAACGCAATGTAACGAACTGTTGACAAAATTCGATACATTAATCTTCAAAGTTAAAGTTGGTAGCTCCATATTCTTCTGAAATATGGGTAACCATGAACGACGCTACATGACGCCACTTCCCAGAAGACAATATTGTAACATGACGCCTGAAGTCCATTGATAGCCAACGGCTCGCTAACACACGTTTCCGCGACAAATCGGAATAGTCCATTGCCAGCCAAGAGCTCGCTAACATACGTTTCGGCGACAACGAATAAAAACAAAATAACAGAGGAACCGTAAGACATGGTAACATATTCGGTTCTCCCTGAAGTTATAAAAGAGTCAGTTCAGAGTTCATTCGGAAGGAAACCGTAATTCGAGAGTTCAGTGTTCAGCTGTGGAGTGTTAACCAGCGGGAAACGGAAGTTGAAGAAATGACCGGTTCGTGAATCAGAACCAAGTCAGTCACGCAGAAGAGAAGAGGCATCCAGTCCAGTAAGGAATGAAGCGAGTCTGAGGCACTCATCGATTTCAAGCTGTCATTACTGAATGTAATTAAAAGTGGTTGTAATAGCAGCGCTAATAAAATCAATCATCAAATTCAGAACTCGTTATCATTAGACACCCAAACTCCTCATACGTGACAGTATTATTCACTGTCAAGCACGACAATGCGAATCTGCTGATCCAACTGGAAAATTCTTTTACTGTTTCCCTTACTTACTTACTTACTCACTCATGGAGCTGAGCACTTCTTGAGGAGCCGCCAATTCTGCAGCTACTCAAGAATTTCCCAGCATTTTATGGAACCCGAAGGTTCATCACCGTGTTCACAAGAGCCCTCCACTGGTCCCTATCCTGAGCCAGATTTATCCAATCCATACCATCCCATTCTGTCTCTCTAAGATCCATTCTAATACTGTCCACCCACCTACGCCTTGGTACCGTTTCCCTTAACATAATATTTACTTCTCTGATATATCGCAACATTAAACGAACTAAGATAAAACAGCGTTTCAATACTTAACGACTGTATGAGTGTCATTAATACTTTGACGTAGTTGTGTGACTATAGACGGGGTTTGGATTGGTGAACAGATTTATTGACCACTTACAAGTCGTAACTACAAATAACTATAGACGAATGCTATTTCCACAATTTACAGTTCACTAGAGGACATAGTCTAGTGTTCTGTTACTAGACGTTCCCTGGTAACGGCTCCAACAGTGGGTATTTCCTCGCCTCCGGCTTAAGTCCGCTCTTCAAAGACTGTTGTAAAAACTATCAACTGACTAACTTCAATGTCAAAGTCACATTGCGACTGACGGTCAGTCAGTCTGTCTGTCTTGGTGTCGAGTCCCGGCTGGGGCTCATGACCAGATGTTTCTTCTTAGATGAAAGTTACTGTCCTGTCCATGTGGGGCGCCATTTCTGACGAGAGGTCGGTTCTGTCATTTGTCAGTCATAGTGGATAGTATTAGTCCATTGTCACTATGTACACGTATTTAAAATTAAGTCTTAATATCTAGTATGTATAATATATACAAGGCCTCTGTCAGTTTAGGCTCAGTACAGCAGATTATGCCCTATTTCTAGTAGTATTCGCTACCACGGCGTCTAGTCACTTGAACGGTCGTATGCATGACCGCCGCCAAGTTTAAGCCTCTTATACTTTCTGTGTCGGGCTTCGCCTTGTCCGATGTTGCGAACATTCATATTATCATGATTTTGTATGACTTCTGATTGTTGCCTGCATAATTTTGTTATACAGTCCAAGTCCAAGTCTAAGTCACATTGCAACTAACGGTCAGTCAGTCAGTAAATCTTGGTGTCGAGCCCCATATAGGGCTCATGACCAGACATTTATAACTCTTTGGCATTTACGGTCTTGTTTTGTGGGGCGCCCTCTCTGACGAGAGTTGTTATATAGTCATATACGTACGGGATTTTGAATGCCATGTGCAAATCGCGTCTCTCTTATAACTTCTCGGCAAGGATCACGTAGAAAACACAGCTCTTCCAATGTTGTAGTCCAACTGTTGGAATATTAAGACTCTGCTGCCTAGCAACGGGAACGTGATTACAGAGCCGTTGTCCAGAAACATCCGCGGAATATCCGCCCATAAGATTACCAAAAGGGGAAAACGTAATAAAATTCAGTAAACACTCGCTAATCCGGTCACAGTTAATCCGGATGTCTGATAATACAGATATAAGTATGAAGAATTCTCTACACAGTTGAGACACATGTGATGTAGCAGCAAGAGGAATTAGGCCAAGGGGATTTTCAGACTGTGTTGAGGGCAGCTGAAGGGATTTACACCACGCGAGAAGAGATCCAAGATTGGCTTGAGCTGGATGAAGGAGCCCCTGGATTTCAGCTTTTCAGAGAAGAAAAAATTGCTGCAGTGATGTTTTTTAATTATTTTCAACACTACTAACTACTTTATTATATGTTCTATTTATTTGCTTCCTAAGAGTTTTTTTTTTTTTTGCCTTTTAGGGCTGTCCTTTGAATCATTAATCCGGATGATTTCCCCCTAGTTAATCCGGATTAGTGAGGATTTACTGCATCAAGATCAAACAGGACGATATTATAAAATAATCATATGGAAAACTTTTGTCTAATGTATAACGTAACATGTTATGTCGCCATATTATAGCTAAAATTAAATCCGATTATTAGAATAAACTCACTAAAGAACGATTTTCATATGATACTTTTTTTTTTACCATCCAAAGTGCAGTATTATGATGGGACCCTAGGGAGAAATGGTACTATTAACCTTTCGTGACATGACATTTGCAATCTACTGCGCGAGGTCCAAACTACATCCGGCCATCAATTTTATCCCTCGCCTTCCCCCCCCCTCTCTAACTCTTTCACTGCGGGCCGAAGTTACACAATCTCAACCTGACAGCAAAATGCTCCCACGTTTTTCGTCAGATAACTGGATAATAACGGCAGCTCTAAATTCAAATCTAAAAAATATACATATAATTATAAATATGTTTATTTTTTCATTTTATTCTCTCATATCCATTTCCAAATTATGCTACGAAACAGAAACACTCATGGAGCTGAGCCCCTCTTGAGAAACTGCCAATTGTGCAGCTACTCAAGAACTACCAAGCATTTTATAGAACCTGAAGGTTCATTATGTGTTCACAAGAGCCCTTTGGATTGATCCCTAGCCAGATCAATCCAAACCATACCATCCCATCCTATCTCTCTAAGATCCATTTTAATATTGCCCACTCACCTAACTCTTGGTCTTCCTATTGGTCTCTTTCCTTTTGGCTTTCCCAAAAATAACCTATATGTATTCCTCTTCTCTTTCATTCATGCTATATGCCCTGCCCATCTCATCCTCCTTGACTTGATCATTCTAATTATATTTGGAAGTACAAGTTATGAAGCTCCTCATTATGAAGTTTTCTCTAACCTTCTGTCACTTCATCTCTCTTCGGTCCAAATATTCTCCTCAATATGATATAATTTACTCCTTCGCTTTCTATATACGTGTATCCCGTTCCCCAATACGTTTTTTAAAGAATCACAATCTTGTTAAACACCTTTACATCACGATGATGATTATAATAATAATACTAATGATAAAACTCCTTCTATACATAAAATTTGTGCACCAGCAAATTTTATTATTGCCTTTATGCATTTTCGGACTATTGTAGCAACGAATGTCCAGTGTTAACACGTAGCATAATCGCCATTTCAGCAGTAAATCATGAACGAGTGAGCGGACTTTTGTTTTAGAGTATCGTGTCTATCATACGAGTACCGAGAAAAATGTTATGCGGAAGTGTCAAGTTTAGTATATTAGAACAAGGAGTTCTCGGAAGAACTAATCGTATTTCTTTTGATACGACTCGGACCGCACAGAAAGCGACGCGTCCAGCAATTCTTCTATTGTTGTTTGCACTAGTTTCTACAGAACTGTTGCCTAGGAACCATAGGGTGTATACTGATACACAATGACTGATGGAAGGGATTTATAGATTGTGCAGCTGAGATGGGCTCATGTGCCATGATACACGTGGGACATATCAAATTTCACAAAGACTAGTTCAGGCATTCAAAAGATGATTGGGGAGGGGGGGGGGACTCGCAGACAAAGCGTGGTAATCACATAAGCCTAACGTTTTCTTTTTCAAAATAAGGAAAGTAGGCTAACAAGAGACAGTTTATGATTGAATATTTGTGCGTGCCATTTGTGGAAGATGGCGTTAAACTTCGGCCTCGACATATCAGACAACATAAAGGACTGGAAAGGAAGCGGGAAGGGTTAATAGTATGAAAATAACAAATGTTATATCCAACTACTAATCCAAACCCTTTCTATAGTCACTCATACACGTGACAATATGCTTTCCTTAAAATAAACAGACTTTTTATTGAACAAGATATTTATTTTGTAAAAAAACTCTAAAAACGCAAAAAAAACTGAAAACGGAGTAAAAATGGGTAAGAGAGATAAAAACGCACGATTCATATACGGTTTATTGCTGGCCACACTTGAGCACGAATCCAGATATATGTATATTCTGACGCCGAAATCAAACTCGTGCGAAAGAAAATATTCGTTCGACAAACGTAAAAAGGGTATTAGGAAAATTCTCGTCCATGGAATTATTTAGTTACGGAATATGTCCTTCAATAAATTATAAATAAATAAATAAACGAATAATTGTTATATAAATAAAGAGAGTAATTTAAATTTGTAAATAGCATGTACTCACACATAGGTTTACGAAGTCCACAATGTCCAATTGTAGTTTACTTAAATATGTTTCATTGGAGGAAACAGAACTTCAAGATAACTGCAACAAAATATGTAAAAAGATGAGGCTAACCTGACATGTCGACATGGATGAAAGGCCGCTGGATTGTCCTGGTTCGAGAATTTTGGCAGCGATCCTTGAAGCAACGCCAGTCGAAACACCAAGAGCAGGCTCAACTGTAAAGAAGAGAAACAAACATTACAGGATTTATAATTAGGAACTCCAGTACGATTCGTAACTAACTAGCTAACTCTTTACCTTCATTCTGTTTAATTTCTTAAGATCAGATCCCTCTATATCAAACTTTAGCGTCGCTCGTTTTCTTACTGCCAGTCTCTCCCTAACTTTTGCAACCCATGTTTTTATACAGATAAATAAATCGTTAAGATGACTGCTCAGTTCCTTATTGTGTATCTAATGCCAATGATAAGCTCCATAAGACAAACGAGGCGTAATCGATGGCTTGCAAAGACAAAAAGACTTTTTTTTTATTAAGAAACAACATAACACAAGACTTTCCGATGCTTGTACGTGTAAGAAATATCCTTGCATCAGTTGTTTTTCGTACTTACGTGAATTACATCATATATGTTCATAAAGGCCTAAACATAAGCGATGTGGTATGAGAACGAATTATCATCTAGAAGTACGAAACACGTGCAAGTGGATTATGGACGACATGGCGGAAACCCGTAGAATAATAAAGCTCAAAGAGTTTAAACCTGTTGAATCAGACTGGTCACCATATATACCACATGCTTCAACATTAAACAATTCGGAATTGTGCCATAGAGTGATTTACTGAGCAGCGATTATTCCCATACTCTGCATTAACCTATCTGTTTTTATAAAGCAAACACAGCGTGCCTGCTTGTCTGTGAATCCCCTTTATGAACAAATCTTCAAAAAACCTTGGTATGTATATCATGGTGCCTGAGACCATCTCAACCCATCTATCAGTCTGCGTGCCTGTCTGTCTCCCCTATCTTTGCTAGGCAAAGGTTCGGAAAAAACGAATCCCCACTTCCACTGCTAGTTACAATACTAGACAGAGACTCTTAAACGTTTTATACATAATACCGATGCGCACAGATATGCGCACGCGCCAACTGACACTGGGAACATGGCGGAGGCCAGTTGAACAGGAAGGAGCAGTTTTACTATCAGTCATTCCCAACTTCATTGAAAAAAAATAACTTGCGCTGTTTCTGCCATTCATTACATACACACGAACGCACGCACACACGCACGCGCGCGCACACACAGACTTTTGTTGGTCTGATACCATTTTCTGAGTAACTGTCAAGTGGCATTCGCGATCCCTTCGATGTAGTTCAATGCTGGCACATGCGTACACATTTGTGTGCTCGTATAACAGCAAAGGAATAAAAGTTTCAGAGTTTCGTCTTCATATAGCGAAAACTACATTTCCGTTGCTTGATAAATTTTAACCATAATATTTTTTTTAAATCTGGTCGTTCTTACTCGAACACGCTACATTATTTAGGAGAAATTTTTGCTTAAAAGCATACAGAAGGGGCCAGAAGTGACAGATCTCAGAATTTCTCATAGCCGAATGCGCATGCTTAAGGTGGCCATGATATAGAATACTGTTGAGCCATGATTTGGGAGAACAGTTGGTCATGTTTGAAACACAAACGGGGCTAAATTGTCTTTGTTTTCTGAAGATAGATACTGTACATCAACATGGCAATCACCGTTCAAGGTCGTGTGGAATATGCATTGATGAAGGGATAAGTTGTGTCGCTTCTGAATCCCACAATATTCCGTGTTCGAAGAGTTTGTTTACGAGTATAACAGTTACACAGTTAAATCATCCTATGCTCCGAGGGACAGTCAGTAAATAAGTCACAAATTGATACAAACGTATAAGATATGTGATATTCGAACACAGACAAAACATTTATTTCAGGACATAACCTCGGCCAACATTGATAACTTGTCCCATCGTTTCACCAGTGTGAAGAAACCAGCTGAATCCAAGTCTTTTAAATGTTGTCTCAGCCATTTCCGCACTTTCGTTTCAAGCTCTTCGCCATCAGCGATAAGTTTGCCACCCATTTGTGAACGAATTTACGCGACAAACACTTCCTACCGAAAACAGGACACAGTTATTTATGAATATCCTTTGCACTGAATAATTTTGACCAGCAAAAAAAAAAAACGCACAATATAATGCTGCCCTTCGGTAGAACACTCTTCAAGCACGGTCGCCATTTTGACTACTGAAACCAGCCTCTGAATATGCGTATGCACGTCTGCAACCTAGATTGTCATGAAGCTGAACTGTACTGCCACCTAGGGATACACACAGAAAACCTATTAGTTCCATTGCAGCTGTTTTACTTCCATTTGTGACCTATTTACTGACTCCCATTTGTATAAAAAAAATAGGTACGCATAAAAGCTGTAGCCTGTTAATAATCATGAAATGACTGATTACAGTTGTTCTTAGTGATTCGTTGTGGATGTTGATTTTGTCTCGGGTCTTTGTGCCGCGTGGATATGGTGAGCGATGCCGACGTTTCGAAGGTGACCGTTGTCTCCGTCTTCGACCATTAAGATCTTTGCCTTAATTCTAAATGGGTATTTCCCCATATTTTGTGGAATAGAGGAACTAAGGATATAGTGTTGGCAATATGGATACTTGAATATACGAGAAAAACAAAATGGAACATTTTCACTTATATTGTGATTTTACACAGATTAATCATGGGCATACAGGAGATAGAATCATTAAGAACTAATACGAGATGGATACAGAATGTTACCTCCGAAATGTTGGCAAAACTGTCTGCAACCGTACTGCAAAGACCCAAGAGCAATATTAATATCAATAATTTTGAAATGCTGATCTCTCTTAGAGTACACTGCCAGTAACACAAAGAGGGGGATTCACTTCATGACAGCCAACATTGAAATGAATCACGGCATAACAATTCTAGTCCAATCTCACATACAGTTTTCGTATTTCCAATTATTTTTATGCCATATTCATTTCAGCGAATGATTACTTTTATAAACATGGAGCTCGTTATTTAAAAATATTTACATAGCTCCAGGAAGTAGAATAACACTCATAATTGAAAAATATCTACAGTCCCTAAACACACATACATCTCTCTTAACGACACAGCTGAAAGAATATCTCACAGTACAATAAAACCCTAATGGCGCTGGTCGTGATTATGACTGCGCGTGCGCTGGTGGCAGGTAGTACCAATTCTGCCGGTAGATGGTTCTAAAACAATAGTCCATGTCATCACGACAAGTTCAAGAAAAATATTTATTTAGATGTGTTTCTTGAGACATGTATTTTGAATTACTTTTCAATACTCGGTAATATAATTTGGTTGTGAGTGCGCTAAGCACAGCCCCAAGTATTTTGTAAAATTTATAAATTATTCATGCAAGAGTGTCATGTATCATCTTGAGGAGCTGGTATTCCGAGGAAAATAGAGCAGGATATTAGTCGGACGTTTACAAATAAGTGGCTACTTAGTAACAATGATTGCTACCATTCAGGCCAGAACCTTTTGTCTTCTCGTCTGCTGTCCAAGAACATAAAAATTAGAACATACAAAACTATAATTTTGTTTGTTGTTCTGTATGGGCGTGAAACTTGGTCTCTTGCATTAAGGTAGGGGGACAGACTGAGGGTGTTTGAGAAAAGAGTGTTGCAGAGAATATTTGGACCGAAGAGAAATCACGTCACAGGAGGTTGGAGAAAACTGCATAATGAGGAGCTTCATAACTTTTACTCTTCTCCAACTATAATTAGAATGATGAAGTCAAGGAGGATCAGGTGGGCAGGATATGTAGCACGAATGGGGGAGACGAGGAATGCGTATTAGAGTAGCGTATTAAAGATGAGCAGAGACACACACACAGGGAGCCTGCACACAGAACAATACATGAACGGTGCTGGAAACAAGAAACAGCCGCTGCAGCACATGTGGACAAGAGCAGGTATCCCTGTGATTAAAAACTTTAAATTTTGAATTTTAAATTTTAAATTGAATTCTAAAATCAAATTGACGAGCGTATGTTGGCGAGATTTTAAACAAAAATGACAAGCTGGTGTTTTAGATTTTAGATTGTGTGCAGTGTTACAGCTACGTAGTGAAAAATACACCTGATGATGGCCGGTTGCGGCCGAAACATGTAGTGTAGAGGAAGAAAAGACAAAGATTTAAAACCAAATAAATTGTTGCATTCACGACGGCATTTGTATTATTACATATAGAAGTGTATAGTGCAACAGGATGCTTAAATATAAAAGTAATTAAAATTCTAACAACGAAACATGCACATGAATGGCTTCACGAGAAACAACGTTTAATTACTAAAGAGTAACCATATTCACACACACACACACACACACACACACACACATGCTTTCATTGCGTCTGCATAAAGATTATATTGATCAATGTAAGAAATATGAAAATTAGTTACATTATGGTCCAATAATCTATTAAGAGACAAACCTTTTAGATTTTAATACTTATTTCATAACATAAAATCGTATTTTCAATAATAACCGAAAAATTTAATTTCAGTAAGCTGTCAAAGCTGAGCTGAGATAGCTCAGTGGGTATAGCGACTTATCTTAGGGTTGGACAGCAGATGATTCGGTGTTCGATTCCAGGGAAGTGCAAGAGATTTCTGCCTTCTCCATATTGTCCAGGCAGAAAGTTGCACCCACCTAGCTTTCTATTTGATAAATAATGGGGGGGGGGGAAACGGCCGGAGTTTGAAGCTGATCATTCACCTTCATACTATACCGAGGTTAAGAATGCCTGAGGTTATAACAACACTTCCTGATGGTATGGCATGGCGCCTAATTAAGCAGAGATACAACTTTTTTTATATTATACTTTTACGAATGGAAAGACATAAAAATTGACATGTCGCAATGAAATTGAGTGCCCAGTGCTTTCTTTCCACAAATGAAACGGTTGTCATATTATTTCCGTTAAGGGAATTGAAAATGTAAGCAAATTTTACGCTTGACAGTAAACAGGCAGAGAAAATATAACTTAAAAAATATGGGCTGTCACAGAAGATAGGAGAAGTAACGTGAATTCAAGTATAAGCTCATTTATTTGAAGAGTTCTATTAGCTTCCTAGTTGCAGCATGACTTACTGACGT